ACCACACTTGCTGCACTTGCGACCTCGGGCTGGACAATTTGTACTTTGGGCAAAATGACCTTCTTTACCACAGTTGAAACAAACGCTTTTCCCTTTGTCTCCACGCCCAGGACGTTCTTCAACTGCATGAGTACCTGCTCCAGGTTCTTGGCTTGGCATGACCATTTGACTTGCCTGCTCGTGTGAGGCTTCCCACTTTCGAACTTTATCCATTGCTGCTTGCAGAGTAATATTAACGACTTCCAATAGCTTCTTCTTTAGCTCAACATTAGGCAACTTTTCAATCAATTGATCCCGTAAATTGTCTTCCAAAGTTGGACCAAAATTACAATGACGAGCTTGTTTACGTAAACGAACCATGAACTTATCGGCGGTCTCTCCCTTTGTCGGCGTAAGTTGACGAAAGACATGACGCTCGTACGGTACATTGTCCTCGGCTCGAAAATGAGCATCCAACTTTCGCAGACACACCACATACTCATTATCCTCGTTAGCATTCAGTGGTCCAGGATCTGGAATATCTTCGTAAATATCTTGTACTTCCATACCTGCTAAATGAAGTAACTGAGCTGTTTTCCGAGAAGGATTCGTAATTCCCTTGCCATCGATGTAATACTGATACGATCGTTTCCACTGTCGCCATCGTTCCGCGACCTGAGAGGAAGACCCTGTTAAATCTAGAGGCGGAAGCGCCCTTTCTACTGAATTCGACATCCTCGTCGCCAATTTGTAGTGTCTAAAATGAAGAAGTATGCCACAAAAGGCAGCCACGAAGGCGAACAACAACAGTACACACAGTACACGTTTCTTTAATAATCTTCCCGCGCTCACACTTTCCCGGATGTATACTTTTACATAAACAACCGCTGAATCAATTGTATCACGCCTTTTACACAATTTTTTGACGAAATAAAGTTCATTTGAACTGCGAATGAAAAACAAGAAAATGAATAATTCACCCAAGTTGACTGCATTTGAAGCTAGGAAGTACAGAAATAAAGCTTGAAAAAATCCAGGCCTAGGCAGTTTCGATTCCATGCCTCCCCAATACTCACTGTACTACCAACTGAGCTACCAAGCCAACAGCTACCAATGGGAGGCATAAGTTAGAATCCCGTGGAGAGCTGAATTCTTTTCGGGCTCTTTTTCTGCAATTCCTTAAATTGCAGTCCACTTGCGAGGGTGATTTCTTTGCTTACCTGCTACAAAGAAGTAATAATTCTACTCACTTTTAAAAGCTTAAGACCTGTAAAATAATTTTATCATATTTCTGTAACCAGTCTCTTAAAGAAATAACAGAAATAACTAGTCCTGTAAAGGGGAATCAGTCAGTTTGATATCGATAGATACAAGAGAATATCAGTTAATTGTCTCTTGGTTAGGGACCATTCGCATAAGGGAAGGGAGCAGAAAAACCGATGAGATTTCGCCCTTCTCTACCCCTGTAAGGAATTTTTATCAGCTATGCAATTTGCTTCATTTTCAGAAGCTACACATATATGGAGAGCATGCATCTAAGCTGTCAAAGTTGTGATGTGCACTTGTATTTGAAGAAAACTACGTAGATCTCTCTTTTCGATCTGGTAGATTCCTCTTAGCTCTTGGCTTTTATCTTTTCGCAATCCTGGATAATGCATTATCAAGCAGGTTGGTGATTGAATAAAGAAAAGTAGTAGGAGGGGGAGGCGCTATGGTTAATTTCACATCGATGTCATGACAAACTATTAGAAAGCGCTTTAAACTCACCCAATCTCATAATGTTTTTGAAAAGAAGGTTCCTACACAAGAGTCCAACGAAATTTCGAACCATATTATTTTCCTTTGTTTTTTTTGAGAAAGAAAGTGCACATCGGTTATACGTTTTCATAAAAAATAACAGTTAACTCTACGAAATGCGAGACAACAGCGCGCGCACATGACGCGTTCTGTCCACTTACTCAGGGATGACGAGTTAACTGTCCCTTTAACTGTCCTATTACACTGTCCAGTTACAAGCGTACACTTTCCTATTAGTGCTCAAATCGGGCTTGTGATACGACAAGAAGTTCTGATACCAATTAATCATTACCGTTACAATTTCCGAAAAAAACAAATACATTTGGGTCACAGATCTCCGGTGGAGACAATGCCTAAACTAAGAAAAAAATTCTCAATTTTGGAAATTCCTCAGTTCTTTTAGGATAAGTGATTGTTTCTATTGTTATTGCGATTTATTCTGTGATTGGTTGATTTGGCTGAGTGGACTTAGTATGATTGGCTGCTTCAACTGTCCGATCACAGCCAACTGTCCAAATACAGCCGATTACAGCTAAGGCACCAATCAGATTTGAGGAAACTGTAATAGCCATGATTAAGGTAAATACAAAGCAATGATGCCTTTTTGATAGCCATCGTTGCGCCTTCGAAAACTCTCCTGCAGGCGAAGAAACGCTCGTCCCGCAGTCTAATTGAAGTCTTTAGAAATGCAGGGGATATGACGATATAGCCTTGGCTATATATATATTTCTATTCTGTTAATAATATCACTGTTGCAGTAAATATTTTGAACCCAGGAGTAAAATGTTTTCGTGTCGTGTAGTCTAACCGGCTAAGTGAGAAATGTATAGAGGACCGACCCCGATAACAGCGAAAGACGTTTTGACAGCCAAAAAGAGAGTCATTGTCAGATTCAATAACGCTGACTTCTACTCAGATCATCCAAACGTGAGCAACCGTCAGCCTCAATTACAAGTGTCCTTTACATGACTACCCTCGAGCCTCGACCAATACCTCTTTCACAGAATCGTGTCACATATATGCTATTTTCGTGGGGAACGAGGTCATCTGGTCTGGCCTCCTTCGTGCGATTATTCAATTCACAAACGTCTTCATTAATGATGTAATTCACACTTTGGCACATGGCACCATTATTGCACGCCATCACACACTCTGTCAAGCTTTCTGCCCTGGTTTTCTTGAATGTGTGTCCGTGGAGTATCATCCCATAAATGGAACGTTCGGATCGACAAGACACGGAAGAATTCATTAGGGCAGCTGGTATATAAATAAGAATGCAATCATACAATCCCGTCGCACAAGGTACATTTTTCCAACAAAAAACTCAGCTGATGTGGAGCTCAGCCCGAAAGTAATAAAAAGAGGTGGATGTATTGGTAAGCAGGCGGTCTGAACTTTGCGCACCGCCTGAGAATTGGACCAGAAACATTTACTGCCTCGTGACGTTCGAAATCAAACTTCACCGGACATCAATTTCTTTTAATGAAAGCAAGAGACACTGCTTCATAAAAATTAGCCAAACTGGTCCGTGTCCACAGCAAATAAACCATGCATGAAGAAATATCTCATATTCCTAATTTCGATATAGCAAAATCTGATTCCGTTGGAATGTGGATCCAATCAAAATCTACCGTCAGCCACCACCAAATATAGCGTTTGCGTTATATTTAGTAACGAAAATTAGAGTATAGTTTATATTTCTGAGGTATCTCGCTGAGAAATAAGTAAAAAAATGTATATCCCGATTGCCAGTGCAAATTGGTAGGGTGCCATGTTGAGACACTTAAGTAGCCTGGTTTTGGTTACTCATAATTAAAAGTACGTACACCGTAAGAATTTATTGTTGCTTATTAGTCTATCGATGAATGAAGCAACGTCCTTGAACGGAAATTGTCACCAGGAGAGTCTGCGCGTTTATTTTTGATGGGTTACGTATCAGCGACTCCGGTGGATCACGTTCCGTATGAATACATGATACTTATAAAAGTCAAATCAAAATAGGTCAAACTAGATCTGCTTTCATTTTAAATATGACATATTCTTTCCTTCCTCTGCTCAATTTATGAGTTATGAAAAATTAATCAGACGAAAAGGGAATAAACACCGACTACTTAACGTTCAGGAAAGACTTTCAAGCGGCTATGTTGCTAAAATTAAAGATTTCTTATATATTTGATTGGTATTATCAGAAACTTTGGGGTTTTACCGGGCGAAGCGCTGACAATTTGGAAAGGTTTTCTGCGTAATTCTAATGATTTTTTTGCGTCTACTACAAGGCTCTCTTTATTTCTATTCTTACATTATTTAAAAGTTAATTTTGCAAAGCTTTATAGAGAGACAGGTTACAAGGATTTAAAACTTTTCTAGGATAATTTTTGTATTTTGGTCTTGCTCGTATTGATTAATTTCTTAATACTTCATTTGTTTTTGTATTTCTATTTTGATAGTTACATAAATCCCCCCCAAAAAATGAAAAGGTGAAATTCACAGTTAGCCAGTGGCTTACCTTCTTGCTTCGGTGAATCTTGGGGAACTCGTTCCAAACGAGGTTAGATAGTTAACAGTGAGGATGCACTTCTCGGGTCTTAGAAGCGATATTAATTTTTAATGCGTAATCTGAATCACTGACTCCGTACAGGCTCATTAAAGTATACCTCCGTACATTGTAAATAAAGTTACATTACATATTGTTAGGAATTTCATCATTACATTTTCAAGAAAACTTAGGATACCTCTCTATAATGCAGCTGCCATGCTTCATTCTCCATCAAACATCACAAGCAAAACCTCTAAAAGGGATCTAAAACCTCTTTTTGTTCTCGCTTCAACTACCTTAAATGACTGGAAATTCAGAGCTGCGATTTGTTAATCACAAGTATGATAACAGACAGACATGGACGACACGAAGTCCTGTTATCAATTAATCGTAGCCTTTACAATTTCCGAAAAAGAACAAATATCTCCAAAGATCTCTAAAGTTAACAATCCGTCCATCCTGGAAACTCCCAGTTTTCCTTCAAATGAGTGATATTTGGTTATTGTGATCAATTCTGTGATTGATGGATCTAGCTGAGTAGATTTGGTATGATTGACTACTTCATACTGTCTGATTACATCTCTCCAAAAAAATCAGTGAAAATTAAAGCAGTTAGCGCACCAATCACATTTGAAGAAATTTTAATGGTTGATTAAATAATTTCCATTAATGATTCTATACAGTGATTTCACAGTAATGTTATCGTAACCTGACCAGGTCCATCAGATTGGTAACAACACTCATTTTTCTGTTCCTTTCCTGAGTTGAAAGAGCCACCCCCTCCTCCACATGAATCTTTGTTCATCTCTCCGCCACCTCCGCCAGAATACCCACCACCACCCCCTCCTCCGTAAGCTCCTCCTCCTCCCCCAAATCCACCGTCGGCTTTTAACGCATTGCCTTTGCCCCCCACTCCTCCCTGAAGAAATCCTCTGCCACCATCTGCGTTCTCATCCGTTCCGTTGGAAAAAAAGCCTCCACCGCTGCCGCCTAAAAGAATAAAAAGGGAATTCAACTTAAACAGACAAAAAGATAAAAATGATAGAAAAAAAGATATTAACAAATCGCTAAATAAATGAAATGAAACCATTTATACCAAAAAGGTTCTTTTTAACAATAATAACTGATATTATCTTATTTAAACGAATCGTTTAGTGGGAGAAGATTCCTCCCTGAATTTTATAATACGGATGTCACTTTCCATAAGCAAGAATCGAATTTTTTTATTCATTCTGAATGTGGTGTTCCCATAGCCTACGAGCAAGCTTTCATAAATGCTGCTGAGACAAGTACACCTCTGGCTTTCCAGAAAGTTTCCCGAAAGTCGAGGTGTGGGTGGGGTGAGGTGTCGAGAAGTCTGCAGGCTTTCTCTAGCGGACCTCTTTCTCGCCTGTTTCGCTCTCCAGCTCGCGAGGCCCCCGGAAATTCCCTCACCTGCGTCGCTGGAATTACCACTCTGCCCGCCAAGGCCACCGATTCCGCCTGACCCTGTTGATCTGTACCCAGGATTCCCCGTTGTGTTTGTACTAGCGTCACACCCTGGATGCCGTTTTGTCAAGTAATGCAGACCTCCTCCACCTCCAGCTATTATCAAAGGCGTGTTGTTTTGTCTGACAACGAATGTTCCTCCACCACCGCCAGAACTCCAGTCATGATCTTTAGAGCCCCCTTCCTGTCCCACAAGGATACGAATGATCTCATCTTTAATCATACTGAACGTTCCGATCATTCTCGCTCCTCTTCCTCGATACTGAGGGCTATTAGGGTGTGAATCGTACCCTCCTGCTGCTCCTATTGCTTCTATTCTGTAGTCACCAGTGTAAGGCACAGTCCACTGTTGAATACCGCTGGACAATGTAACTTGTCTGTCATGATCCTGACCTGTGTAGTGACTGCCCAGCGTTGTTGGGCCATATCTTCCGGTGGCACCGAGATTTGAGAAGATCGCAGAGAATGCTGAAAATTAAATCATAATAATAATAAAAACCATTACATCATTGATGCCGTACTTGATGTGCTTGTTAATTCGTAGTCCGTTTAGAAAACATTCGATGCTCCGTTAAGGTTGTCGACATGTCATTCATCTGTCACTTAGACAACTAGATGACACAATCACTAGCTTGAAGGATTTCATGTTAAAGTGATTACGCTTCCAAACGGTAACTACCGATAATTGTTACAATGTTGCTTACAATTCTCGCAGTTTTCACCTATGGCTTTAGGTGGACACAGGCAAATGTATCTCTTGTCTGTGAATCCATTGAGACATGTTGCACCGTTGGCACAGGGGTTGCTGGAACACGGATTCTAGTGAGAAAACCAAAAGGAGCATTCTCAGTCTCCAATTTGAACACTAAGGGCCACTTATTTACACCAGGTCTAAACCAAACCGCGGTTTTACGCAAGCAGTGGACCTCAAGGATTCTCTATCAGAGGGTTGATTGAATGAAATAAATAAATGTTCTTCCACTATCAGCTTTCGGCCCTCTTGGCGTTTTTCACAAAAATAAATGTTCAGATAAAAGATTCGACTAAATTGAAGATGGCTTAAAACGCGGTTTCGCTAAAACAACGACTTCTAAACTTTGTTAAAATAGCCGACCATATGCGTTCGATTCTCTCTTTTTTTTTTGTCTTCGATCTCTTTTCATCTATTTGCATGGTAACTATTATTTCACCTGGGTAGCCCAGTAAAGAAATCCTTCCTGTGCCGTAAGATCTTCGGGATGTTGAATATGGTCAGAATCACTCAATTGACAGACCCTGAGTCCATTCTTGTCGGGTGGCCCGACATTCACAGACACACAATTACTTTCCATCAGGCACTCGTATCTACAGTCACCACTGAGTTCATTTCCCATTTTGAGCGTTATATTACGAAGTAAGTGACCTTGGAGAGCGAATCCGTTGTCTGGTTGTCCAAACCGTAGACTTCGACACCCGAGTCCTGCTGATAGGGGTACATGGGGAAAAAAAGCAGAAAAAGTAAAAAAACAACAACAAAAAAAGTAAAAAAGTAACTCTTTAAATGATGTAGTAGTTAGGTAATGAAATAGTAAAGGAATCAACACTTACAATTATAAATTTAAAAAAATGAGAAAAACAAAATACTTTTAACTGACCACCAGATTACAGAATTTTTTTGGTAAAATTTATTATAAGTTAATCTCAGCGAGAAGATAATTATTAAAAAAAGAGGCTAACATAAATAAAGACTGTATTATTTATTCTAACTTGAGGCTCAGAGAGATCTTTCACCGAAGAGAGATACGCAATGAGCTGTTGTAAGTTCAAGTAAACGTTAATTTTGTGTTATCAACTTAGCTTATATGTAAATTGACCTCCGTAAAGAGCTTTAAAGCTAACGTTACGAGCGTTAGCCCCTCATCTTTCGCCGTGACAAAGTGAGTGATATCCCTTATCGCATCAGGAAAAAAGAAACCTATCTCTCTGCGATCCAACAATCTTGCTTTTTGAGAGGTGCCTCGTACGAGTTGCAAGACTTTTGCTGATCAAGCTTTTGCCTCTGCTGGTCCACCTCAGAGGAAAAAGCTTTCACAAGAGAATATCGATCAGTGGATATTCGCTTGGCTTCCAATGTTGATTAGAACGGCTCCGAACTTGGTTACTTTTCAGAAACAGTTTAAGACATGCTTATTCAAAAAAAAAATCTATGACATTCGGTCCCATCATATTCTGTAGGTCCTATTTTATATTTTGAAGTTTGATATCCTAACTTTCACTTTGTTTTAAACGGTAAAGTGCTGTCGAATATTTTATCCTAAAAGTGATAGACAAATTCACTGTTATCATTATAAACCAAATTATCATGTAAAACCTCCCACTAACTCAGCACCACAGTTCCTTTCGAAAATTACCCCCCCTCTTTTTTTTCAAATAAACTCTGTTTGACCAGATTTCTTAAGTGCACATAGATGCGTAAAAGGTTTTTACAAAGGTTGCCTTCTTTGGACCAAATTGACTCAACAGATGTAAACATCATGGAGGAGTCAATATTCACTGAATAATGTATTCCTTTATAGAATTCTCTCTGAAATCCACTGATATCAGTTGACCAAGAAAATGTATTGAGTGTATACATATTGTATGTAGTTGCAACATTTCGACGGAGTGGCCCAGTTCTACTCATAGCTGGTTTAAAACACTGACAAGGCCAGACCACAACATAGTTAGTTATGTTCCCCACTCTCTGCGAGAAGTGCGTGGGTTCTTTAACGTCGTCTACTAACCAGTGCAGAGAGAATGGTGGAGAAAGTACAGAATAGAATGTCTAACCATTTGCGAATGTTATGGCAGAGGCAACACATTCTCCCCAGTTATTTTAGTACTCTGAGTGTTTGTCCGTTCTAGGGCTTGAAGATGTACACTCGAACTCACGCACGGCAGTCCGGCGCTCTACAACTTGAGCTAATCAAGCACGGGCGCAATTTTATTAGTATCTGATAGAGTGTTTTATGATATTCTTAAAATAGGTGCGTTCTTCGGTGGAGCATCTTTTGTGGATCTGAAAAAATGCGTTTTTTTTTGGGTTTTTTTGGTTGTTGTTGTTTTTTTACTTACCGCGATTTTTGGCTTCTACGGGTATACATATCCAAGTACCAAATAAAAGGACAAATCCAAACAACAAAGGCAAAGCTGTAAAATACGCGTTCATGACTACTTTTGGGCGTAATTTCCCGAGGTGAAAAAATGGTCGATATAAGCAGAAATATACTTATCACCAACTGATTAGCAATTGGATCCTTGCAAAAAACGGCCACACGCAACTTATCAAATATTTATGTAATTCAAGCAAACTTTCTGTTACTCACGCTTTTTTGAAGAACACACAACCATTTTTTTAATAGTACGAAGGTGATGCTATAAAACATGGGTACCTCTTCTGTGTACTTGATCTGTAGCTGTAAAAGTTTAATTACACGGTTCAACACTGCTTAGAGCTATCGTGTGTTTTGTGTTCTGTGTCCCTTATGTGTATGCATAATGGACAGATGTTTTTTTTTAAGTAAACACAGGAAACGAAAAAATGAGTCGTGACATGATACGAGCAACTTCGCTTCGTTGAGTACAAATAATGGGCGAATCCAGTTAAAATATCAAGCGATCTTTAGACATTTGATTACTTTGCGCTGCGAAAAAAAAACTGTTCGAAGTTGTATCAAAGAAGAAATGAAAATGGATTAAAAATCGCTCTTGGTTAACAGCCATCTTCTCACCAAGTATCAGCAGCAGACTACTACGCCGGAGCATTGTCGACATGTGATTGGGGTGGATGATGAAAAAAGAACTGTAGTTTTGTAGTTCTGATTAAGCACCTTTGTCAAATACCTAAAGCTCATTCATGTCTTTGAGAGTTTGTCTTTAAGCATACTGTTTTTTTCCACTGGCAATAAATTAATTATTCAAACAGTTGTCATTGATAATATGTCACTTTGTATCTCAACATTGAATCGTTGTAAAACCCTATTTGACAGGTTGACGTCTCATTTGCATGCACGATATGAGCGTAACACAAGACAAAAAACCGCTTTTTGTTTCTATTTTTATTTTTTTTCGTCGTTGGCTTATAGGAAATGGTCATAAAATTAATCAGCTGGATTAAAGTAACTTAGTGGACGGATTGGTGTGTGATATCGCTTGGTATATCTACTTGTTATTTTTATTTTGACTCGCCCTGCGGGATTGTAAATATACGGCACAATTTGTAAAAATACTTTACAGTGTTGCACACAAAATGTGTTATAGGATATGTTTATCAACCATAAATTACGGAACAACAGCGAAAACATCATCGACAAAACTGGTCGCCAAGTTCAATAGCCGTCGTGGCATTTTTCGACAACCTCTGAAAAATTATAATGTATGTAATTACTAACTGAGGTCGGTCGGGCCGGACGGAAAATAATTGGCTCTTAATTAGTCATAATAAAAGGAACTAAGTCAAACCACGATTGGGACGATAACGAGGAAGTGACAAAACAAAATATCTAATGAGCAGAAAAATGCCTCAGCGCGTGTGTTTTAAAAGCCGTCCTGTGCAAAACAACATGTTGAAATCATCAAAAATTTGCATGGTCTGAGAACTTTAACCCCGACGTTTAATGATTCATGTTTTCCATGTTCAACTCATGGCTGCTCCCACACGTTTGACCGAATTGAAGTGGGCGCCTCAAGAGACGGTAAACACGTCCAGCCATTTGCAAACTTATAAAGGAAGATGAAAATTCCAATCGATGTCTTCCTTGGCGTTGCCTCCCTGTTATTCTTTTTTTTAATAAGGCATCAGGATTACACGTTCCGAGGGTAAAGTTTACCTTCGCATGTTATTAAAAAGGGCAGCAGCCGAAGGGCTCGAGTAAAGGAAATTTTTATTCAAACATGTGATCAAACATATCAAATCTCTACACACACCATTAGAACTTTGAATTATCTCTCTTTTATATTCAAATCAATGGTATGTGCGGTCTTCCCAAGGCCGTAGCCGCATTTCATTGAAATTAATCGCCAGTAATGATTCATCTCTACGTTCTTTACGTTAGTGGTCAATAATTACAACTTATTCGATGGTTTCACGAATAATACGCGTGAATGTTTTCCAATCCCTGTGTAGGGCGAGGGAAAACAGAAACTGTCCGTATTTTTTGTCTGTTCTTTAACGTAATATCGTAGCATATAGTGTACGTTCCGTTGCCCTAGTACGGTAAACTGCTAGTTTCCTTTCAGCAATGTTACGGTCATCTGACCATGCTCATCTGAGTTGTAACAACATTCATTCTGCTGATCTCTTCCCGAGTTAAACGATCCATCTCCACCCCCACAGGAATCGCTTACACCAGCCCCACTGCTTCCTCCAGAGTACCCCCCTCCACCGCCTGCACCCCCTTTATATTGTGTACCTCCACCACCGCCACCAAAGCCGCCGAACATAATAGGTATTGCGGCCCTGCCCCCTTTCCCTCCGTTGAGAAAAGCCTTGCCACCTTCGCTGCCATTTCCTTATACTCCTCCATATTCCAGTCCACTCCTTCCATCTGAGTAAAAACCTCCGCCACCGCCACCTGAACATCAAATAACAAATACTAGTGATATATGTATAGGTAATCAAACAAATTCGGATTCAATTTGGTGTAAATAATCACGATTTCAGACTAACAACAGCTTAAGTGAACTGTTCAGTTGGAAGCATCCTCGAATAAGATTCTAACGATAATTATAACTACATATTTTTTAATCGAAGTCTTCCCGTTGTTATCATTAAGATAACAATTTCCTCGATTGTGATTGGTTTGATAATTTCCTACTTTCCACTAATTCACTTGCCAAGTTGTTAGTATTGGACAGTTCAATAGGCCAATCATATTCAAAGTTGTAATTACAATCAGCCAATCACAACCTTGAACTAAACAACCATAGAATCAGTGTACGGACAAATGTTCTTTGTCTTTCATAACTTGGCCATTCTTCTTTCCTCAGTAATTGTAATTTTTGAGTAATAAATCCTGATAAACAAAACAGACTCCCGCTGCCAGTCGTCCGACTTTGTTATCACTCGTATGATTACAGACCGAATTGGACTCCACTCAGTTCCATTACCATTACTTATCGTCACGTTTTATTTATAATATAGACCCTGACCTGCTTTACAATCATCAACCGTCTGGGAACCATGTCCATTGCTCCCCCCCGACCATGATCTATAGCCAGGATTCCCCGTTGTGTTTGCACTGGCATCACATCCTGCATGTCTTGATTGCGGGTCGATTACACCACCACCTCCTCCGGCAATTACCAAGCAGTCGTTTGTTTCTTTGACTACAAAAGATCCACCCCCTCCACTACTTGTGCGTTCACTCTTGCCCCCCTCCTGGCCAACGAGAATTTGAATGATTTCTCCATTAATCAATACAAAAGTCCCGCTTATTCTTGCACCTCTTCCTCGATACTCGGCGTATATGCCGTCGTGCTGCTCATTGTAACCACCTGCGGCTCCAATTGCTTCTATTCTGTAGTGACCAGAATAAGGCACAGTCCAGAGTTGAATACCTCTCGACAAAGAAACTTGTCCATCGTGATCCTGACCTGCGTAATGATTGTCAAGTGATTTGGGACCAGTGCGTCCTGTTCTGTCCAGGTTTGTAAATACGGCGTTGAACCCTGAAATATGCAGAATAACTGATCCAATAATGTACATGAAAAAAATTACGTGCTTCTTATTGGCTAAAAACGAATGCATTCTCATGTAACGCGAGTGCAAAGTTGAAACTCGAGTGCAAAGCTGTAACATGAGTATAAATTGCAAACATTTCGTCTATCTCGATTTTCTGCGATGTTTTGTCGCACACGTTACTAACAAGTAATGATATGATTTCTCTTGCAGTTTGGTGTACTAAGCGCTTTGGAATTTTTCAAAGATAACAAACTGCATTTGCCCTACGCGCTCGTGCAATTTTGTTGTCTTTCGAAAAAATTACTCGTGCTTATTAACACTAAATTGCATTCCAAATCATGTTATTACCTATACAAAACCAATCTTGAGTGAGGAAACCTAGATGTCAGTTACCAAGGGTTAGATTTTACTAAGACCTCTCTCACTGTGCTAAAACTTGAAGGGGTGAGATTGGGACAAGACCAGGAAGGAAACGGAGCTTTCAAGCCAGAAAATAAAAACAGCCTTTTGGTTTCTATGGTCATAACACATCACAAAAACCATTGACAAGATTTTTATGAAAAAGGAAAAGCCACTCTAATACTAAGCAAATTGAGTACTTTGCTAGCGAAGTAGTTTTGGTATTTTAAGAATATATTGAAAAGAAACGATACTCCCTTTTTATGATCTAAACTTTATCCTTACAGTAAGCTACTGATGTTATAAGCAAAGAAAAAAAACAGATTTTGACCTTTTTATACGTATAGGTAGTAAAATGATTTCGATTGCATTTTGTTGTTGATAAACAGGAATAAAAATTTTCAATGACAACAGATGTGCACGAGCCCTTAGGGCGGGTATAATTTGAAAAATATACAAGTGCGTAGCACACCAAATTGCAAGAGAAATCATGTTATTACTTGGTAATGAAGTACATGAAAAAAGCATCAGAAAAAAGCAAGATAGAGGACGCTTCTTATGATTTGCACTCGTGTTAAATGAGAATGTACTCGTTTTTAGCCAATCTTAAGCGCGTAATTTTCTCGTATTCATTGCTAAATGTTACAACGGCCTAGCTTGCATCAATAACAACCGACTAATTAAAGTTAATAATTATTTCAAGAGAATTGATTGTAAGTCGTCGCGATGCGTCAATTAAAAAATACACAATGTCAGCAATATTTAACTACAATAAATGGTACGCTCTGTTACTTTTTGAATTTTTTCTGTAAATTTCATTTCTCTCTCCTTCCCCCCATTTCACTGATGTTATCAAACTGCTCACCGATTCCAGGCAATATTGTTTGGAGGGAGAAGGGGGCTTTCAAGTTTCTTTTTTTCAGATGAATTACATGATTTCTGTTGATCGTAGGGTTGTCGGCCACCGACAAATGGGTGCTGGGGGAGGGGGTGGGGATCCGGAGGCGTGCGAACTACTTTTGCCACTTATTATAACCGACGTAACTTTTTACCTTTTTCACATCCTTTTCCCGTAAAGCCTGATTGACAGACACATGTATAGTCCATAACCGTTATTCCAGGTTGGCATGTGCCTCCATTTAGACACGGGCTGGTGTGGCACGCGCTCTGAAACCAAACCAAAACTATAGCTTAGTCAACTTTAATCATAAACATATTTTCTTTTTGATTTAGGTTGTTCTATTAGATTTTGATAGTTTTTTGTTTTTTGATAACAGTTCACCAGCAAGGAAAATGAAGAACTGACTTCAAACTGCATGGCTTTT